TGGGGGGGGGGGGGGGGCAGGTGGTGGCCCTCGCAGATGATGTAATACTGGTCCCGCACCTTCTGCTTGGGGGCCAGGTAGTGGGCGGGGTGAGGCAGGGCAGGGGGGCGGGCAGGGTGAGCGAGGCAGGGGGCAAGGGACGAGGGGGGGAACATGCTATACCCATCAGCAATGAGCTCTGCACCGATCCCCACCTCCCTCCCCCCAAGCAACCAGCCCAGCCCAGCCCAGCCCCAGCCCAGGCCCCACCTGGTGCTCCTCGTCGCTCATCAGCCGGTACTTGAGCGGCGGCTTCCACCCCGTGTTGATGGACCGCGAGTAGGAGATGTCTTTGGCCAGCTCCTTGTATGTCTTGAGCGCCTGCTTCTGGGTCACCTGACGCATGATATCCGCCTCCTCCTTCAGCAGCCGCTCCTGCTCCGTCTCGGGGGGCACCTGCGGCGGGGGCGTTGGGGGGGTGCGGGGGCGCAGGATGGGAAGGAGGAGGTCAGGGAGGGCTGCGTATGGCAGCCTGGGTGAGCCGGCGCGTGGCAGGAGCACGGCAGGCAATGGGCCCGATGTTGTGCAGCGGGCACGCGCTGACAGGCCCCTTGATCGCAGCCCACACCGCCCATTGCCGGGGGCCCTCCTGCATCTGCTTGGCCTTCATGACCAGGAGCGACTTCTTTTGCCCGGGGTCGGACTTGGGATCCGTGGTCCTCCCCGCCCTGCCCCCCGCCGGGGTGGGCCTGGGATGTGGGTTGGGGCGCGCGACCCATGCGCGCCAGCCGCTCCTGCTCCTCCATCTGCCGCCGCTTCTTCAGCGGCACGTACTCCTCGTAGCTGCAGAGGGGCCAGCAGCAGCGCGCTCAGCACCCTGCACAGGTCCAGGAGGCGGGCGGCGGCGGCGGGGTTCCGCAGGAGCCCAGCCATGCGGCGCTCACTCGTCCTCGCCATTCTCCAGCAACGTTCTCTGCTCCTCCTCCTCGTCTAGCTCCGCTCGTCTGTAGCGCTTCACCACGGGCTTCTGCTGCACGGCAGCGGCGCCGTCCTGCTGCACGTCTTGCGGCGCATCCTGCGACCTGGCACCGCCAGAGGCGCCCTCGCCCGCGGCCATCGCGGCGCAAGCACTGCAATGAGCCTGATGTGTGTGCTGGGGAATGCTCAATTGCAGCTGGAAGGATAAGTTCAGTTGGTGGTAGGCTGAGGCGGGCTCACCGGGGCGATCGTAAAGCGGGGGAGCCAGGCTGGCGCCGACGTGGCAACCAGCCGCCGTCGCCGCCGTTCAGGAATCCAGCGCCACATACTCACAGCTGCATTTCGTGAGCAGGGGGTGCCGGGGCTCCGCACCAGAAGCACCAGATGGCCCTTGGTACGGGTCCAGGAGGCGGGCAGAGGCTGTGGCGTGCGGGAGGCTCACTTGTCCTCGCCATCCTGCGGCTGCGGCAGTGCACTCAATCTTACAGTGCATCCTGCCGCTGCCAAGGAGGAGGGTCCTCAATAGCACATGCATTGCATCCCTGTCCAGACGGCATTCTGCGCCCCTGGCAGCGTCGCCCCGCGCCGTCAGTCTTCCGCCTCAACGATGATGTCAACATGTGTCCTGTCCAAAACGCGCTTCTCCTGCTCCTCGACCACTATTCACATCGTTTCGCCAGAGATCACAACAACATCCAAACATGTGTATTCTCGCCACGGGTTGACCGAGGGCTCCGTTCACATCCAGACCAGCAGCGCCCGCTCCGGCTCGAACAGCAGGTGCACCAGGCTGCGGCTGAAGGCCTCCACGCCGGTGGCTGCCGACAGCAGCTGCGGCACGTCGCGCAGGAAGGCCTGGTAGCGCCCCGGGTGCAGCTGCAGCATCGGGCAGGCGGCCAGCACCTCCAGGCTGTCCAGCTCGCTGCGCGCCTCCAGCACCTGCGAGAGCGCAAGCAGCGATGGGCATACCGGCGGAGGGCCATGGATCCCACACTCCATCGCCACCACCGCCACACCAATCACGCACACGCCCTCCCACCACAACAGCAGGCAGGGCCCACCCACCCTGTCCAGCTCCCGCATGTACTCAGCATCCAGGAGGCGGCCCAGGGAGGAGGTCTGGCGGTGGTGGTATGCGCCGCGCGCCAGCGTGGGCGTGGCGGGGCCCGTGCTGTCGCTGCCGAGGCGGGAGGACAGCGAGGGGCATAGCACAGCGCGGATGTAGGCTGCAGCACGCAGCGGCCAGGCACAAGCGCAGTTGCTGGGACGGCGCTGGAGCGGGATCGTTTGGATGGCTGGACAGGGCTGCACACTGCAGGTGTAAGGCAGACCACTTGATGCTGCCATTTGATGCCGCAGCCCACCCCAGCCAGTGCAGCCGCACCCCCGCACCTGAGACAGCAAAGGCGGCCAGGCCCACTCGCACCGCCACATCCTGGTCCCTGTCGGTCACCTCGTCAAATGCAGCACCCGCGCTGCTGCCGCCAGCGCCCTGCCGGTCGGAGAGCTTGGTCTTGACCTTGCTGAGGCTGCGCCCCACGGCCTGGAAGCCCGAGCTGATCTTCTGCTTCACTGCCTGGCCCGTCCCGCTGCCCTCCGCCGGATCAGCCACCCCAAAGTGCCCCGCATCGGGGCCACCCAGCGCCGGCCCTGCCGCCTCGCTGCCAGCTGTGCCCCCGCCCTCCTCGGCGACCGTGCCCAGGCCAGAGGCAGAGTAGGGGCCGGGCCTGGCACTCAGCTGAGGCGGCACGCTGCCCAGCGGCGCCTCGCCTGCCTCCTGATCCAGCAGCGCTTGGTCGTCGTGCTCCCCGCCACGCCCCATCCGCGCCAGCCTGTCTCGCATCTTCGCGCCCCAGCCCTTATGCCCTGGCTCGCCTGCACGCAGAAGGCGCCCCAAAGCATGGCCGTCGTCGAGGCGTAGGAGCGCAGATCGGCTGATGTGCACTGGAACAAACAAAGTAGTGCAAAGCAAGTGAGCCACAAGCATGCAAAATGCCGGGTGAGCATTCCAGCAGATGGCGGCCCTCACCCTCGGCGCCCTGGCCCGCAGCAGCAGCCTCCCTGCCGCCACTCTTGCCCAGCAGGCTGCGGAAGCCGCTCTTCAGCTTCTGCCCCAGCTGCTGCTCCCCGCCACCTGCGCCAGCCTCTGCAGAAGGTGCCGCGCCATAGCCAGCACCGCTGTCCTCTGCCAGATGTGTGGCGCTGGGCCCCGCGGCACCGGGCGCCTGGCCGGTGATGAGCTGCCGCACTGCCTTGAAGCGGTCTGCCGCGCCGCTGAGCAGGCGGTTGGGGCTGCCGCCGCCTGCACAGCGCAGCCACGGCAGAGCGAGTGGGCAACCATCGCCTTGCCAGGCACCCAGCCCTGCAACATCGGCTAATCCACATGCGCACACACGCAGGCAAGCAGCATGCCTCCGCACCCACACACGCGCCGAACCCCACGTTCCATCCTTTCCTCACCCGGGCTGCCGCCCTCCATGCCAAAATCCTCTGGCTGCGCCAGCCTCAGCGCCACCACCCGCAGCTCCAGCGCCTCCAGCCACTCCAGCAGCGCCTCCAGGTGGGGCCCGCTGGGCAGGCGGCGCCAGCGCGAGTCGGCCACCCAGGGCAGCGCCGCCAGCCAGGCGGCCACCAGGTCAAACGGGTGCCCCGGCTCGGCATCCGCACGCACCGCCACCTGAAGCACCTGCAGGCAGGAGCAGCGCGGGAGAGAACTCACGCGTGACTGTGTAGGTGGATGGGGCAAGAATCTATCCATGGTTCGGGGGTCGCTTGGCAGCTCACAAAATACAGCTTCCGCTTGGCAGGAGCCAACAGGCAGGCAGGCGGAGGCGAGAGAGCGCCCCACCTGCGTGACCAGTGCCTGCCACTCGTCCTTGGGCAGCACGGTGGTGCCCTGGCGCAGCTGCTCCACAGCCAGAGCCGCGGTGAGCGGGGCATGCAGCTCTGCAGCCCCCTGCGCCAGCCCCAGAAGTGTGGAGGGTGGCACGCCTTGCGCCGCGGTCACGGCGACCCGAAGGCTGCTGCCAGCTGGGCTAGAGGGCACGCCGGCTGGCGGAGTCTGGGCATTGGCGCCAGCGCCCGCCGCCTCCAGGGAAAGGACCTCGGCTGTGGCGCTGTGCACGCTGAGATCACCCCCCGCCACAGCATCTGCGGCAGGGCGGAGCGGCGGCGCAAGAGCATGCGGCATGGCTGGATACCCGGCTGCTCCTGCTTGAAAGCCCGCCAACTCGGCCCCTCAGAATTAGGGCAGGGTGGCACACAGCACAGATCACAGCGAGGCAGGGCAGCCCCACCTTGGCTGGGCTCGGTGGCAGCCAGCAGGATCGAGGCAGATGCGCCCTGCCCCAGCGGCCCGCCGTCACGCTCGGGCGCCGCCAGGAAGCGCAGCACGCCCTCTGACAACGCCTGCGCCTCTGCGCTCGCGTGCAGCCCCGGGCAGGCATACACCAGGCGCAGCAGGCAGGCGGCCAGCGGCGCGCCGTCGCCATCCTTGCAGGCAGCCTGCATGAGGAGGAGCATCGGGGGCCGAGTGGGCTGGTGCGACAAGCTGGGCAGGGGGGCGCTGCGCTAAGACGCAGTGGCCCCCAGCAGCATCGCCTCACCAGCAGCCCCAGGCGTAGCTGTTGCCTGAGCAGCTGGGCATCCATAGCCCCCGGCGTCAGCCCCGAATGCTGCGCCCGCCGCCGTGCGCCAGGCAGCAACGCTGCCAGTGTCTGGTGGAGGCCCCGGCGCTGCGGGGCGGCGCTCGGGGCCGCCGAGCTGCCTGGCCCGCCGCCAGCACTGCCGCCGCTGGATTCGGGGGCGACAGAGACGTAGAGTGCAGCCTGGGTGTCCAGAGGGAGCTCGGCATTAGAGAAGGGGAGGCGATCGGAAGTGAGGATGGTGAGCGGCCGACGCGCCAACGGCACCAGCAGCGCCGCCACGCCCGCCGCCTCGTCGGCTGCGCGGCCTTCCGCGGGCGCCGAGGGCGCTGCCGCCGCTGCCGCGCTCGCGGCGTGCAGCAGGTCAGCCAGCCCAGGCTGCCGCCACTGCACCAGCCCGCCGTCGGCGCAAGCTGGGTCCCCGCTGGCCAGATCACGGGGGCAGTGCTCCAGCTGCAGGCTGGCTGCCAGCGCTAGCGTCGCCTGGCTGGCCCCTAGCGGCACCAGCGCCGCCTGCAGCAGCTGGGCGTGCTGGTCGGCGGTCAGGCTCCAGCAGCCCTGCACCTCAACCAGCGGCAGCACCTGCTCCTGCTCCTGCTCCTGCTCCTGCTGCTGCTCCTCGCCGCCAGCCTGCTGCTCGCCGGCACCTGCACCCGCCGCTGGCGCCGCGCCCGCCGGCTGCTGCTGCTGGGATGCGTCGTCGTTCAGGTGCAGCTGGCTCAGCTGCTGCAGCTCCTGCCGCTCCCGCTCCTGCTGCTGCAGCAGCAGCAGCTGCTGCTCCTCCACAGTGTCGGCCAGCAGCTCCAGTGGGAAGCCCTCAGGGATCACAACTTGCTCCTGCTGCGCACGCTGAGCCTCTGCCTGCGCGGCGGCGGCGGCGGCGCCCGTGCCAGCCGCCTGCGCCGCGGCCCGCTGCGGGCGCTGGCTGCCGGGCTCGTGCTTGGTGCCCTGGCACAGCGTGCACAGCAGCAGCGGGGTGACGGCGCCGGCCGCGCACTGGGCGGCCTGAGGCGAGCCAGCCAGCACAGCCGCCCTGCACAGCAGGCTGGCGGCGTGCACCAGCCGGCCTCCAACATCGCCCGCCATGCTGGCTGGCCCCAGCAGGATGGGCAGCAGCAGCCAGGGCGCCCCGGCCCCGGCCGCTGCCTGCTCCGCGTGCATGTCGGTCGCCAGCTGGCGCCAGTCTGCTGCCGCCATCAGGTGTGGCAGCAGAGGCTGCTGCTCGCCGGCCGCAGCCACCAGCGGCATGAGCGCCGCCGACTGCGGTGAGCGCATCAGCGCCGCCACATCCTCCGCGTCGCCAGCCGCGTCTTCAAAGGACGCCGCCGCGGCCTGGGCCGGCGCCCCGTGCAGCAGCTGCCGCAGCCAATCCGGCTGGTCCTGCAGCCATGCCCGCGCCACACACCATGTCAGGATGCAGCGCTGCCCGCCTGTCCAGTGGCTGGATGCCCATCCTCTGCCTCTCCTCATCAATCCAGCTTGGGAACTCTCATTGCCTGGCGCGTCCCCTGTCAGCCTCACCTGTGGCGGCAGCGCCACGCAGCAGTCCAGCGCCAGCAGGGCCAGCTCCGCTGCCCAGACGCCTCGCCCGCTCGCGTCTCCCGCATCGCCCATCTCCTCTTCCTCCTCATCCACAAGGCTGTACACCTGCTGCACTCGCTGGGGCTCCTGCGCGGGGGCCGCCTGTAGAGGCAGGGGAGAGGCCCGTGGCGCAGGGTGTGCACCGCTGCCGAGCATGGAGGCAAGTGCAGCATTGCGGTCCGACTGAGGAGTTGCTTGCGAGCGGTGAGCAGTGCATGGCCGGCTGTGGCTGCGCCTCAGCTCGTACCTTGGCCAGGACGGGAGCAAAGTCCAGCTCACGCAGCAGCACCGCGGCTGCGCCGTCGGCAGGCGCCGCCACCAGGTGCAGGCGGATGGCGGCAAGGGCGGCTGGGGAGGCGGCATGGAAGTTGGACTGCACAGGGCGGCCCAGCAGACTGATGGATGGCAAATAGATGCAAGCACAGCTGTTGCCGTGGATGCTACCAGCCACACAAGTAGAAAAGCAGCCACAGCCAGACCTGACGCCAGGGCAGCGAGGCCCAGTAGGAGAGGAAAGCGTCGGCGAGTGGGCCGCCGCCGCCGCCACCGCCAACGGCGGCGGATGCGTCGGCCAGGAAGGGCCGCAGCGCCTCCTGCGCTTGCAGAGCACAAGTTCCAGGGATGAACGGCCAGCAGCGCAACAGCAGCAATCATTTTCAGGCCCAGAGGGTGCTGAGGGCGATAGCAGAGAAGTGCAGCACTTCTCCTGCCCTGGCAAACAAGGCAGGACCACACGCATACCCCATGCCTCCCTCTATTAAGGGTTGAGGGTGTACTTAGGGTGTAGAGTCCCTACCTGGTACAGGTGGCTCCACAGCCACTGCAGCAGCCAGCCGCCCTGCTCCGCCGCCGGCATCAGCAGCACCTCCAGAAGCTGCAGCAGCTCCTCGCTGCAAGTGCAGGACGGCGGCGGCACAGCCTGTTTGTTGGCCTTGGCCGCTCCCACACGAGAGAAATGGGTGAGGACAGGGGGCAGATCCAAGCAACCCATTCTAAATCCCTCACCTGAGGCTTGCTGAATCCAGCGCGCCGCCCGCACGCCGCAGCAGGCAGCTGAGCACAGCGCCCACCACCTGCTGCAGCAGCACCGCCAGAGGCTGGCCGCTGGGCTGCAGCGGCAGCAGCACCAAGCTGCTCTTGCCGTTGCCAGAGCCGCCCAGCCGCCGCGCCCCGCCCTCGGAGCCCTGCTCCGCCATCCTGCTGCTGCCGCTGGCTGCACGGGCGGCCAACTCGGCTTCATCGCCACCGCTGCCGCCGCTCAAGGTGCCGCCCACGCGCGCCGTCCACAGCTTCTGCCCGGCAAATGAAGCAGCATACTCATTGGCAGCCTCAGCAGCCGCCGCCTCGGGCCCTCGCTCCACGCTGAGCTGCATGCTGCGCAGTACGTGGGCTGAGCGGTACAGACGCCCCAGAAGCTCGTATGGCAGGAAAGGCGGCGCGAGCTGGTTGCCATCCACAGCCTCTGCAATCTGCACCAGCGCATCTGCCACCACTGGGGGCGGAAGAAGCTCAACGGGCACCCTGCACAGCATGCCCAGCACGTCACGCCGCGCCTGCTCGCCGCCGCACGCCAGCGCCAGCTGCAGGGCCGCCCCCAGGAAGGCGGCCGGCTGCAGGGTCAGCACGCCCTCCAGCAGAGCCATGCCCACACTGTCGGCGCCAGGCTGCGAGAGGCTGGCATGGGCCAGGTCAAGCAGCTGCTCCATGCTGACGCGGGCGTGCGGCGTGGCCGTGCTTCCGCCGCCGCTCCCTCCGCCGCCGCCACCATGGCCCCCGGCCTCCCGTTGCTCACAGACCAGCACCGCAAAGCGGGTGGCATCAAAGGGGGCCAGCAGGGAGGCTGTGGTGTCCGCCGGAAGCGCGGCAGCGGCGCAGCCATCCACCACCATCTGCGGGCAAGCAGCCGAGCCGGCAATGACTCCAAGGGGCACACTCGCACCATTCAAACTGCCCCACTGCTGCCAAAACGAGGCAGACATCGATATCAAAGGCAGCACACAGCTGTGGGCGACAAGGCCACGCTGCATCTGCTGTGGCACATAAACCGCACAATGCCAAACCGCCCCAACCTGCTCGCCGCACCTTGAGCGTGTCGTAGAACTGGGTCAGCTGCCCGCCATTCAGCATGGCCTCAGGCCTGAGCAGGCTCTGCAGCAGGCCCACGCCCTCGTGCTGCCGCAGCAGCACGCGCCCGCCGGGCTGCGGCGCCAGGCCTCGACAGATCATGGGCACAAGCCGCGCCTTGTCCTGCTCCCCCACGCCAGCCAGCTCCTCGGCGCCCTGGCGCCGCAGCCCCTGCTGCAGCAGCTCCGCCAGCAGCGGCACCGCCGAGGGCGGCGTGCTGCCATTGAGGAGCGCCTCGGCGATTCGAACCAGCAGCTGCTCCCAGGCTGCCGCCGTCTCAGGGGGCAGCTGCGCCTCCAGCAGCAGGTAGCGCAGCTGGTGCAGCTTGACGGCGGCAGATGCCATGGCGTCGTCTGCACCAGGGGAAGAAAGCACGGCCTCCACTTCTGCCCAGGTGGGAGCCCAGCAAGCTGTGTGCAGCCAGGGTGCACAGCCAGGACCATCAGAGGCAGCGTAGCTGCATCTGTGAGCCCCCAGCCCATACCCAGATGTCTGCGTACCGTGCAGCGTCTGCAGCGCTCGCGTGCGTGCATACCCCCTCTCCTGCACAAACTCAGACTCATACGTCAGAGAGGGCTGGGCCGGGACCCGCTCCCCGTCGGCATAGTCGTCGGACGCCGCCTGCAGCGCTGCCAGGTCAGCGGGGCGGTACCGCTGGCACACCAGCTGGCGCGTGCGCAGGTCGGAGGCTGCCTGCTCGTCGTCGTATGATTGGCTGGCAGCCCACAGAGTGGCCTGAGCCTGCGAGAAGAAGGCAGGGGGCAGGCGGGGCAGGGGCATGCCACACGTCCTTGGCAGGCAGGTCTTCAAAGCATAGCATGCCGCCAACCACTCGCTCCAGCAGCAGCCAGCAAAGCGGGAGCCCACCTCTGCCAGCATGGGAGGCACGTCGCCCTCCCGCACACCCGCCTCGTCCCCGGCCGCCGCCTTCTCGCCGCGCCGGCTCCAGAAGCGAAGCACATCGGCGGCATCCGACAGCTCCTCGAGCAGCGCCGCCTGCCGCACCCGCAGCTTGTCCAGGCTGGCAGCCAGCTCACCCGACAGGGTGGCGCCGCCGCTGGGCAGTGCACCCGCCTGCGCATCGGCGGGCTGCTCGGCTGGCAGCGGAGCAGAGAGCGCAGCGACCACCTCCTGCGGCGCTGCCTCGTGGCCAGCCAGCAGGTTGCCTGCATCGTCGCCGCCGGCTGCACGCCAGGCTGTCGCCACCTGGACCGCCAGCTGGCACAGCAGGGACAGCGTGTCGCGCAGGCTGCGCTTCCGCAGCGCCGCCACCGCGCCGTGGGCTCCTAGCAGCGCATCCAGCAGGCCTGCCAGCTGCTGGGGCGGGGCGGGCTGCGCAGGGTCTAGATCCCTGCAGAGAGAGAGAGGACTGGACGGTGTGCTGCGTCTCTCGAGCGTGCTGGCGCAAGCACCGGCGCCTCTCCCAGTCTCGTGCCCCACCTCTTGAGCCTGGCCAGAGGCCCCAATGGCTGCCGCCCCTCACCTGGCCATCACCACCACCAGCTGTTGCTCTGCCACCTTGACCTGCAGCGCCGCAGACGCCGCTGAGCTCTGCACCGCCCGACGCCACTGCTCCAGCGACCCCGCCAGCTCCTGCTGCTCAGCGTCGGGTTGGAACACGGCCTCCTGCACGGGCGGGTGGGCGGGTGCAGGGGAGCCGCACGTTGCGCAGCAGAGTGGTGCAGTGAGCCAGCCGAGCGGATCATTGTCCACACAGTGTCTACGCTGCTGTGCTGGCTGGCAAGACAGCGGGCAGCCTCTGGCCACCCACCTGTACCGTTACCGTCTTGTGCCGAAGCATGCCGCCTCGCAGCTGCACTGGGCGGTCCTGCAGCCGCCAGCACCGGTCTGCTGCCTGGTACACATCACGCTCCAGGGCATCCAGCAGGCCGTCCACTGCACCTCAGCAGAGGCAACGCACACAGCCGCGTGCGGCAGCTTGGGTGGTGGTGGCGGCGCGGCGCCTGTCCTGGCCTCCAACGCTGGCGGCGCTCTCCCTGCTTGAACCAGGCTCGCACACAGGCCGCTGCCCTACCTCCGTCGACATACGCTCTGCACGCCACCACCAGTCCCTCCGCTCGATCGGTCGCCTGCTGCAGGACCTCAGGCTGCGCCATCGCTGCTGTGGCGCAGTTGTGATCACTAACGACAGTAATCTGCCGGAAGATGGGCCCGGGAGAGCGAGAACCCTGTCGTTACTCGATAGCCCCACGCCTGGGCTGGGCAGCTGCAGGGCTGATTTGAAGCCTTCAGGATGATGCTAACACGTTAGGGTGAAGGTGCATCGCGAGATCGATCATCCGCTGGCCAATTGCCACCTGTGCAGCTGCGGCGGTGCGCTGCGGCGGAGCCCGCCGCTGCTTCCTTCATCTTTTCGTTCGTGTGATAAGCTCGTTACATGCGGGGGTTGAGGCTCACTATGTGCATGTCATGCATTCAATCTTCTTCCCTTTCAACTGTTCAATCAATCAACAATGATCCCATTTGCTCCTGGCTCATGCACGTCGTCGGCAAGCGCTCCTCATAGCTGCGCCCTCATCTATGCTTCCGCTCGCTCCTGGGCGGGGTCGTCAGGACTGTAGTCGGGGTCTCGCTTGTCCTGCGGAGCCAAGGGCAGAGCATTGCAGTGCATGGGAGTACACCACGGACTGGACGTCCACAGAGATGCACGGTCCCAGCGCTTAGCCTGGGCGCATGCGCACCCTGAAGGCCTCGATCTGCTCCGCCTCGCGGTCGCCCTGCGCCACCTGCTCCGCCACCGCGCCCTCTTCGCCCTACTAAGGAAATGAAAGCAGCAGGTTGATGCTTCTCCTTGTGCCAGCCGGCGCTGCAGGCCATCGCCCCACCAAAAGCGCATCCCGCTCCCCCGCCCACCTCACGCTCCAGCTTCCAGGTGCCGCCCCTCAGCTCGGCCTCGTAGCTCTGCGGCTGGCCTGGCACCGGCCCGATGCCAGGGCCCACCTGCACTCAGGCAAGTGCCTCGCTGGTTGTTTAACTGTCATTGACATTGAGGCAGGGAAGACACGCGACATGCCGCACGTGCTTGCCTGGTCCTTATGGCGGGTCTCTGCTGCCTTGCGGCTAGACGCCTTGCGGTCCTCCTCGGGCCGTTCGGCTGCAGGGAATGTGGGGTGCTTTAGGAAGGAGCTGAAAGGCTAAGCAGAAAGAACATGCCTTTTCAAGTCCTACCGGATGCCTTGCCGCCGGCGTAGCCGCCAGGCAGCTTGCTCTCGTCCTTGGGGAAATCTGTGGGCAGGCGGTCGGCGGCGCGCGGGTGGAAGGCGGCGGGCAGGCGCTGTCAGCGGGTGGTGCCACCTGCCCCTAAATGTCCCCCGCGCTTGTGGGCTGCTTTCACACACACCAGCCATGCTGGAACGAGTGCAGGGTAGAAGGAAGAGCCGTCCAAGGCTGCTTGTGGTGAGGGAGGAGCCTGCACTGATGGCTGTGCTTTGGAGCCTTGTCCACACCCCTGGCAACTGCTCTTTGAAAGCACACAGCCAACAAAGGTTACAGAGGGTGCCTGCAGCCAGCTCCTTTCCAGCTGGCTTCTTTCTTGCTACGCTAGGGGATGTGGGAAGAAGGGGGGTTTACAGAGTTGGGCATACACATTGTGGAGAGAGCAGCCGCTGCCGCTGCCTCAGCAACCGCCGCGTAGCGCCAGCACCAGGTGCAGCACGCTGCCACCCTCGATGTTGTAGTCCTTGGCCATCTTGTCGTCGTTCATGGCCTTGCCCGCAAAAATCAGGCTGCAACGCACGTCGTTGGTTGTTGCTAAAGCAGGGGAATGGAGCTGTGCAGAACAACTGCACCCGCCTGCCTGCCTCGGTTCATCAGCAGCCAGCCCTGCTGCCGAATGCGCTGCTGATCCTCTCCCAGCCCCCATAGCCCCTCCCTTCAGCTCACCGCTGCTGCACGGGCGGAATGCCCTCCTTCTCCTCCACCCTCTCCTTTATGCGCTGCACGGTGTCTGTGGGCTCGATATCAATCTCAATCTCCTTGCCCGTCAGTGTCTTGACCTGCGCACAAGGCAGGAGAAAGGGGTGAGCTGATGCCGGCGATCTGCACTTTCCTGGAAACACCCACCACTGCAAAATCGGATGCTGCAAAATGTCCTCGACACGAACCCAGGCGGTAGCATTGTCACAGCCAACCCGCCAACCTTGATCATCATGCCGCCGCGCAGGCGCAGCACCAGGTGCAGGGTGGACTCCTTCTGGATGTTGTAGTCGGCCAGGGTGCGGCCATCCTCCAGCTGCTTGCCCGCAAAGACCAGGCGCTGCTGGTCAGGCGGGATGCCCTCCTTGTCCTGCATGCCGAGAGCACGCAGCCGCAATGCAATGGTTGGTTGAACCGCAGAGGGCTACATCAGGGCCGTAATGCGAAGATGCGATGCCTGCTGTTGTTGGGCCCCACCACAGCAAGCCGCAACCCCCACCTGAATCTTGGCCTTCACATTCTCAATGGTGTCGCTAGACTCCACCTCCAGCGTGATGGTCTTGCCTGCAGCAGCAGGAAACAGGGTTGATTAGGTGATGCAGTGCTGGTTTGCCACACAGTGCAAGCTCCTTTTCCTTGCAGTCGATGCCGCTGACTGTGGCAGCTCTCTCACCCGTCAGCGTCTTCACGAAAATCTGCATGCCGCCACGCAGGCGCAGCACCAGGTGCAGGGTGGACTCCTTCTGGATATTGTAGTCGGCCAGGGTGCGGCCGTCTTCCAGCTGCTTGCCCGCAAAAATCAATCGCTGCTGGTCAGGCGGGATGCCCTCCTTATCCTGCACCCACAGCAAGGCAGGCGCGTGAGCAAGCAGGCATGAATGCAGGGCACGGATCCAATGGCAAGAACAGGCACACCCGCCAGGAATGCGCTGACCCACCTGGATCTTGGCCTTCACATTCTCGATGGTGTCACTAGACTCCACCTCTAGCGTGATGGTCTTGCCCGTCAGGGTCTGCAGCAAGCAGCACGTCCACGTGGAAGGCGGCGGGTTGCGGGAGCGGCTGGCGGCAGGCGGCGGTCTCGGCGGCAGCAGCGGACCACCAACCGGCAGGCACAGACTCACCTTGACGAAGATCTGCATTCTGTAAGCCAGGAGCCTGACCTGTGAGAGGGAAACCTGCAGAGGGAAGAGTTTGCAACATGGTAGCGCGCTTCTGTTGACCGCTGGCCGCTCCCTGGCTCCCGCAGGATCGCCCACTCCACCGCGGAGCAGGCCAATGCGCCAGGCGGTGGCCAAAACTCGGCCGATCAGAGGGATGACGGCTCCTGAGGCGCACCTGATCCGGCTGGGGTTGTATTGAATGAGCTGATCGGCTGCGCAAGGTTTCGCACTCTGCGGCACTGCAGGAGTCGCGCGCCACTGAACCAAGAGGTACAACACATGTACCGGAGGTTGGCATGTAAATCGCGCGCAGCGTATCCGGCAGTCAGCCAGTCAGCCAGCCATCAGCCGCAGCCATTCGCGCGATCCACCGCAGCCCCCAACGGCCTCTAGAAGCTTGGCGGGAAGCCGCAAGGCGACCACAGGCGCACGCATAGCGGCAAATGGCGCTCAACGGCATTCAGTACTCGTGAGTGGTGGTGTTGACAGCGGGCACGGGCCCAGCTGCGCGGCCGGGCTTGAACTGCCCGACTCCCAGCTCCCTCGCTTCGCCTCAGCCGGCGCTCCCTGCCCCCAGCTGATTGTCATTGTCTTCTGGAACGCGCCTGGGCGGCAGCAGGCCACCAGCCTGGGTGACTCGCCCGCCGCCCCCGTCCCTCGCCATTGCCGCTGCTCTGCCGCGCAACCACTCCTGCCCTGTCCTGCCTGGTGGTGCAGGGAGCGCTACTATGACGACGTGTACGAGTACCGTCACGTGGTGCTGCCACAGGACATTGCGAAGCGGCTGCCCAAGGACAAGCTGCTGAGCGAGGCAGAGTGGCGGCAGCTGGGCGTGCAGCAGTCGCGCGGCTGGGGTAAGTGCTATTTTTACAGTCCCTTCACATTGATGGGAGAGCAGTATCTGAGGGTGCAGCAGAGGCTAAATGGTGCTCCCTTGGGCTGAGCAACAAGAAAATGCCTGGGGATGGCTGTGCGGGCATGCACTTGCCTGCCTGGAATCGGCTGCTTGCTTGCCACTTATGATTGCCTGCTCCTGCACTTGCCTGCAGTGCACTATGCCAAACATCGTCCGGAGCCCCACATGTAAGTTTTTGCTTAAATGTTTTACTGATCTCGCTGCCGGGGGCTGCGGTGCCGTCTTGGCCGCCGCTGCCGTGCCATGTTTGTAGATATGTGATCCTGAGTACTGCTATACTCACCCTGCCGCTTGCGCCTGCAGCATGCTCTTCCGCCGGCCCAAGGGCTACGGCACCGCGCAGCAGGTGGCGGTTCCCATGCAGCAGTGACACTTCCCGAGGCTGACACGATGCGTTCGCCAGCGTCCCAAGCAGTCTGGACGCACAGTTTTTAGAGACAAAGTCGGCAAGCAGTCAGACAATCGACGGTGCACCACTCTTTATGCCGTAAAACAGCCGGCTTGGCCGCTTATGGCCCTAGATCTTCCAGGCATGCACTAGACAGGCATCGCATCGCAGTTTGGCAGTGTAACATACAAAACAGACAGGTGAAGCGGGGTGTGCTGAAAGGCTGTGGAACTGAGCAGCTGCTGGTGGGAGCGGCACGTTGCGGACAAGAGCAGGGCATGGAGAGCAGAGCGGTGAGGAGCAAAAGCATGCATGTATGGGTGCAATTTGACGCGTGGGTGGCCGAAAATGAAAATCAGTGAAAACGTGGGGAGAAAGTAACGGTGGAAACAAGGAGTGCAATGGCAGCATCACCAGGTCAAAACAGGGTGGTGCTCCTGCTTGGGAGGGCCGGTTGTCACGCTACACCTGTCCGCTGCCGGTGAGCGAGAACACCTTGACAGTGCCCATGCTGTTGGCGGCCAGCAGCGTCTGGGCCCCGGGCCGCCAGCACACGGCCGAAATGAAGGACTTGTTGTGCTGCGCGGCAGGGGCGAGGCAGGTGGCGGGTTAGCGGCAGGAGGCCACTCCATTTCAGGACACCATCCGCCGGCTGCACAGAGGAACAGCTCAGCAGTGGGGCATCCCGTCGCACCTGCGTGTCGGCGTCCCCTGCCTCCCCGGGAGCAGTGAATGCCTGCTGTGCCACCGGCTTGGACAGGGCCTTGTAGTAGACGTACAGGTCGCTGGTCTCGCTGCCGCAGGCCAGGAAGTCGCCGTCGGCTGCAGGTGGGGGCGGGGGCAGGCTGGAGCAGAGCCAGCTGAGACAGCAGCGATGCCGGCAGGCTGGGAGGCTGTTTGACAGCCCCTTGAGCCAGCGTGGGCGTGCCAGGTGGCGTGGCCCAGCCCAGCGCCGCCCCTGAGCCCATGGCAGCCCACCTGCCAGGCCCACGAAGTTCTTCTCGTTGGAGTGGCCCTCAAACACGCGCAGCGCGTCGGTGGTGGGGGCCCCCAGCCCCCACAGGCGCAGCGTGGAGTCAGTGGAGGCGGACACCAGCTCGCCCGAGCCGCAGAACCGAACGTATGAAACAGCCTTCCTGCGGGACGGCCATGGGGGCCGCGAGGAGGAGGCAGGGTGAGGGGTGGCTGGAGGCGCAGAGGCACCAGCGACGGCTGCACCACGGGTGCGGTATACACGCCGTGATGGCAGCCTTCCCATTGAGGTCAGCCGGGGGCAAAGTGTGGGCGCCCAAGCCGGCCCAAGCCTGCAGCCCCGGCCCCAACTCCCCACCGCCTGCCCACACCCACCTGTGCCCCCGGAAGGTGGCCACCGGCGCGTCTGTGCGGCGCGTGTCGTACAGATACACGCCATGGTCGGCGCTGCCCAGCGCCAGCTCGTGCGCTGACCCGGGCCGCCACCGCACCGTGCACACATTCGCCTTGGTGTCGATCTGCGTGTGAGCAGGAAATGCCGGGAGCGGGTTGGCGGGGGCTGGAAGGGCGAGGCGGGCCGCAGGGTGCTCCCCTGCGCTGCTGCAGCGCTCGATCACGCACCCACCCAAAACCATCACCACCTCGCTGCCACCATGGTTGTGCAACCCGCCCACGCCAGCCGGTCAGTCCCCCCAGCCCTCCAGCCAGCCCACCTGCGCCACCGACGACGGCGACTTGGTGCTCCACACCTTGACGGAGCAGTCGTCGGAGCCGGAGGCCAGCAGCGTGGGGTCGGCCTCACAAAAGTCCACCGACCAGATGCGCTTGGAGTGGGCCTCATACTCCAGCAGCTGCCCGCTGGTGCCCACATCCCACACGCTCACCACGCCTGCAGCACAGGGGGCAGGGGCCAGGATCTGACAACAATTACTCGAACTCGAGCGGAACCGGCTCCTTGGAGAAGTTAAGCATCAAAGACAAGGTGGCGGCAGTAGCGCAGTGCGCAGCCTGGTGTGGGGGCGCGTGTGGCATCCACGCTAAGCGGGCGCACCCTCGTAGTCTGAGCTGGCGATGTGTGCCTGTATGTACTTGTTCCAGGACAGGCACGACAGCTTGGAGCGAGACACCAGCTCCACCACCGGCGTGTGCAGGCCGGGGGAGGCGGCCGAGGGCACCACGCTAGCAAACTCAAAGATGCTGCGGGAGGGGAGCAGCGGCGGGGTGCGGGGAGAGGTCAGGGGAAGATAGGCAGGAGGGAAGATAGCCAGCGGACGAGCAGGCAACGACGGGAGGGCAACACAATGGCGCAAGGGCACAGCAAGGTAGCCAAGGGATGCAGCCCGGGGCCACGACCTGCACCACAGTGTGGAAGTGCCCCGCCACCCCGCCCCCCCCGCACCGCACCTGATGCGCTTGGACACGCCCGCGGTGGCAAACAGCGCCCCCTCCTTGTCAAACTCCAGGGACGACACAATGGCGCTGGACTGGCGCAGCGGGGGGCGCTGCACCTCCGCCACCAGCTGCATATGCAGGCGGGCGCGGGCGGGGGCACGGTGTTGGGCACCCCCGCAAGGGCAGGGCATGGGCGAGGCGTGCATGCCTGCGCTTGCCTGGCTCGGCATGTTGTCACCAGCGGCAGCAGGCGGACCGCACCTTGATCTTGTTGCAGCGGGTGATGACAGACAGCAGGCGGCTGAACTCCTGCAGCCCCTCGTCAATCAGCGCCCCCACCGCGCCATCCGCCGCCGCCTCGCCCGCCCCGTTGCCACCAGCAGCTGCTGCCTGCGTGCGGCGCAGCTGCGCGGCGCGCAGCTGCAGGTAGCTCTGCTGCAGGTCGTCAAACTGTGAGGCGATGCGGCGCTTCTTGTTACGCAGCAGGCTCAGCACGTCGCGCCCGCCGTTGCGCCCGCCCGCGCTGCCGCCGCCGCCGCTGCTGGTGCCACCTGGGCTCAGCAGGCTGCCATACATGCTTGTGAAGCTGGGGTGGGGCTGCTGCGGATGATGGTGATGGGGTGGCTGCTGCTGTGCGGGCCCGCCTGGCCCGCCTGGCGGCGGCACGCTTGGCAGCAGCAGGGAGTGCGCGGGCTGGCTGGAGCCGCTGCCCAGCGCCCGCGCAGCCAGGCTGGCAAACGCGGCACCCGCAAAGTCGGCGAGCTGCTGCGCCTCCCGCTCCTGCGCCTGCTGCAGCGCCTGCTGCTGCTGCTGGAACAGCTGCTGGTGGTGCAGCGCGGCCTGCCCCACCGCTGCGGCAGCGGCGGCGCCTGCCGCTGACACATCGCGCCCTACCGCTGCTGCTGCAGCTTCCTGTGCAGCGGGCAGCGCAGCTCCCGCTGCAAGCTGCGTGCCGAGCGCAGGCTGCAGGTGCCCTCCGGCAGGCAGACCCGCCGCGGCAGGCTGCTGCTGCTGCGCCTGTTGCGCTGCGGTGAAGGCGCCATCTAGCCGCTCTTGGGACTCCATCTCCGCGTCATCCTGTGCCTGCTCCGCTGCTCCTGCCCTGATCTCCACTGTTGCAGCAGGTCCCACCCCGGGTGTTACGGGGCGACCCTGGTGGCTGGGATCGGGCACCGCTGTTGCCACTGCCCCCGCCGCCTCCACCTTTTGGATGTCGCCGTCGAGGCACTGCAGCTCTTGCTGCAGCTGCGCCAGCCGCTGCACCTTGTCCTGCCTGCAAGCCAGGGGCAACCAAACAGCTTGCACATCGTGCACAGTTTCTCGCAAACCGGGCAGGCAGGGGAGCGTTCAATGCTCCCAAACAAATGGCAGGTAGGAGGTTCGGCAACAGCTCACCTGCTGCTGTGCAGGAAGTGGAGCAGCAGCTCCATGCTGGCCTCCCGCTGCTGCTGCTGCAGCGCCTGCTTGTGCTCCCACAGCTGCTGCAGAAGCACATCCACATCCTCCTCCTTGAGACCCTCCTTGTGGTCGGCGACTGCGTGCTGCAGCAGCTCCAGTGCCGACAGCGGTGTGCCTACCGCTCGGCTGCGTGCCTGCTTCACAATCTGCGGCCAGGATGCAGGTTGGGAGAAGCTCGTAGAGGCGCGGGCCAGCACTTGTGGTATGGGCGGGCGGCACTGGCGGCCGGGGCACGCGGGGGAGCGCACTGTGTGGATTGCAGCCCTCCACAGGCTTCTACCGGCCCCTCACCTTGCTGAGCAGGAAGTTTGGGTAGATGAGGTCTGTGGTGAGGTAGTGGGAGCAGGCGGGGCAGTGCTTGTTGTGCTGCAGGCTCTGCGTCAGGCAGCCGTAGCAGAACGTGTGGCCGCAGGCGGTGACGAACGGGTCGGACAGCGTCTCCATGCAGATGGCGCAGGAGAGGTCCTGCTGTCGGACAGCCGTGCAAGCGCAGTCCGCATCGTGAAGGGCGTGCAGAGGCTGCTGGCCAGCCAAGGCGATCGGCACCAGGTGCTGGCCCTCGGACATGGCTGCGGGTGGGGTGTTCAGTGCTCAGGCCGCGCGACGGCGGCGGCACCGGTGGGCGCAAACCATTCTCGGTCCACAGAACTTGCTGCTCTGCACCTGCAGACCTCTGAAATGGTTTGTATGGCGGCTCAGATGTTTCGGGTGTGTACAAAATGCGATTTACGTGGTGCTCTGTGAAGTTTGATGTGCCGCTGCACGCTGTCGCCACGCGCGCATGGTGACCACCCAGCGCACCTCACGCGCGCAGGGGTGCCAAAGTCATGGGCCAGTAGCCAATTCACACATCATCCTGACTTACAATGCGGCAGTGAGTCAAAATGAGATGCATGCAAAGAAACAACGACTGCATCAAGTGAAGCTGGCTCAGCCGTCATCTCATGCAGGCACAGCCAACAGCACGACACTATGACTCCTGCATTCACGCATCAAAGAAGGAGGTTGGTAAAGCAGCAGTGCCCAATGCTTGCCTGGCCAGCTTCACACCTGATCTGGCAGCCACAAAGGGTGCAGCAGCAGTGGAGCTTGCCTGCTTTCGGCACCGGGCAAAGCACCCGCCGCAATAGTCATCCACACACAGCTCGTCGGCAGCGCAGGGGTTGTTGAACTCGCATGGCGCAACGAGGCAGGGCACCGGGTTCTTGCAGCCTGGGACCTCCTCAGGGCTAATCCCGCACCGAGCCGCGCAGTTGCAGTAATCGTTGACGCACTGCTGCCCTTCAGGGCAGGCCAGCTTGGCGACTGTGCATGGCACGACGGGGCAGTTGCTCTTCTTGCAGGGCTCCTGCACAAAGGGACAGGTAGGCGGCGCAAGCAAACCAAAGTTGGCAGGCCGCTGCTCCTGCGCACCGACCATGAACCGCCGCTGCATCAGGGCGCTGGCAAAGCATCACAGCAGCGAGGCTCACGCAGACAGCATCACATCCGTAGCAGTAATCGTCTCGGCAGGCCTGGCCCACGGGGCACTGGTGGAACTGGCATGGAGGCACGAGGCACATGACGGGCATGCATGGCCTGCGCATGCGGCCGACATGGCACGCGGGAGTGCAGCATGGTGTGAGTTATGGCTGTCAGCTGGATAGCCACACGCTGGAGTGAGGAGGAGCAGGCCACGGCCCCCCTCGACGAGGCCCCAGGCGCACTCCTCCCAGGGCGTGTCTTCATTGCATCGCTGGCTGCCTGCCCGTCTCCTCGCACATCGACCGTGCCAACGGCGCTTCACACAACAGGCCGCCACACCCGCCCGCTCACATGCAGGCCCGCTTGCAGTCCAGCTCTGTGGGGAAGTTGTTGGCGTTGCCCTGGCAGCCGCCATAGGTGAAGCGGACGCACTCGCCGGCCTCGCTGTTGTAATACCAGCGCGGGATGGCAGCCTTGCATGGCCCTGGGCGGACCGGCACCGCGCAGGCAGACCTGCAGGCGGGAGGCCGGGTCAGCCTGGAATGTTCAGCGGGCACCAAGCCGCCTCCTGTGCCTGGGTCCACAGCTGTCTCCTGCTCCGTGCTTGGCACAGCAGAATCGAGCGGCACACCCGCTCGCAACTCACTTTAAGCACTTGCCACTCTCGGTCTGCGTGAAGCCATCCTTGGTACGGCACTTGGTGCACCTGCCCTTGTCGTCGCAGCCGGCCCAGCCCTCTTTGTAGGGGCACTTGTTGCAGGGGTTGCACCTGCCCTGTTTGTTCTTGTGCACTGCTACTTTTGCGCCGTCGCCATTTCTGGCGAAGGGCATGCACCGGCGGCACTCCTGCTTGTTGGTTTTGAGGTTGAGGCCTAGCGCATTCTTGTGGCACACCTTGCAGTGCTTGTCACCCGACACGCTGGAGCACTGCAGGCACAGGGACAGGCGCACAAGGCAGGTGAGGGCGGGGGGGTCAGAAGGGCGGGGAAGACAAGACTGCACGTGCCTTGAAGCATTTGTTGTTCGAAAGAAACGCATCGCTGCCATCAGCCGACGGGTTGCAGCTCGTGCAATTGTTGCGTGGACTGCATTCTTTGCAGCCCTCAATCCTACAGCCCTTGCCGCCACCCTGCAGTCCACAAGAACACAAAGCGGTTCAATGGTACTGCCAGGCGGGTGCGGCGGCAGCTGAGCGCCACGCGCAACCCAGCGGAAGCTGCAAGCCGATGCCCGCCGCCGTTGTGAGTTGCTCAGGCACTCTCACCGCATACAAGCCTGCACGCAGGGCAGGGAGGGGCGGGGGCGTTGAGGAGAAACCTGCTCAAACGTTTCGGAGGGAGCGCAGATGCAGGCCGCAAGCGCACTACCTTGCGCTGATATCGCCGCCAGCAGGCAGAGGAAACAAAGACGCCAAAGCGTCCGCATCGCCGCGTTCCCAAAGCCCGAGGAGCACTCCTGTCGACGGGCGCCTCAATACGGGTGAGATAAACAATGGATAAAGCGATCACTCTGTTTCGAGGTGGTCAGATGTGGGACACAGCTCATGTGGGCCGCCCGCCACCTCACCAGCCCCGCCGTCGCGACGACGCGTCGCCCGCCGCCATCACTTTGCATGCTGCCATGGGGTAGAGACCTGTTGCAGGTTTGCGAGCGAGTATACCATGTTCGTGTGGTCAATACGACAACTCAGCTGCCTGGCCCTGCATCCTCCGGCTGCCCTCCCGGCCCGCCCTGCTGACGCAAGCGGCGCTGGATGGCGCGCTCCTGCTGGCGCAGCAGCGTGGCGGGGGCGTGCAGCCTGCGGTAGAGCCCGACCTTCTCCATGAGGAACTTGAACCGCTCAATGTCGGCGAGGGTGCACCAGCCCTGCGCTTGGGGTGATGCATGCTCAAGGCGGTGGGAAGGAGGTAACGGGGCACCTCAGCATTGCATAAAGCAGTAGGGCGCACCCTCAGCCCATTCCAGGCAGCACGGCACCATGCACTTGCCGCAGGCTTCCGCCACTTGCCTGCTGTCCCAGCGTGGGGTCTGTGCAGCGCACGCGGGCGCCCTCGCTCAGCACCATGCGGGACAAGAAGAAGTCGTGGGCGGCGGCAGGGCCCCGCGCTGCCGCCATGTATGCGTCCACATCAAAGTCAATCACAAAGCACTCCTTCACCTGCGTGGCAGGACCAAGCAACACGGCGCTGCTTCCTGGGCCGCCCCTGCATCTTGCAGCCTCCTCCATGCCCGCTGCCATGCTTGCTACGGCCCACCTTTGCCCTGTCCCCCCTGCGGGCCGCGTCCACGTAGGCCTCGGGGCAGCTGCGGTGCGCCTTGGCTGCCACCTCGTCTGCCGAGCTGTACGCATAGTGAAGTACCACTGAGTCGTCGCTCACGTCGTCCCGCCACAACCCCGTCGGGTTGTCCGCCGTCTGCCACCTGGAGGGTGGAGCCGTGAGGGGCACGGGTGGTTGCACTAGAGCAGCTTGCTGGCACAGATGATCCACTGCAGCAGAAGAGTCTTGTTACCACAATTTGGGCTGGGCCCACCTGGGGGAGGGGTTGCCTGTGAAGAAGTGGGGCCCCAGCGGGCGCACCCCGGGCGCATCCACACGCACCGCCGACTTGCCGTTGGCGTAGAGCGTGAGGAAGGCTGCGGGCAGCAGGAGGCACAGCACACGCATGTGACGTGCACAGCACAGCTGCGGCATGGCATGGCGCAGCGATCTTTCTCGCGATCGCGCTGTGCCCAGGTCTGCTCGCTGCACGCCCCGGCGCACCTGGCGAGCCTCCCAGCACATACAGGCCGCGGTAGAACTGCCCCTCAGGGGTGATGAAGTGCTTGTGAACCCGGAACAGAGTGACCTGTGGGGGGGGAGCGGATGGGGGGGGGGCGACAGGGCACACGTCGGCACAGCGTGCACGGCATGCCACGGCTTACAGCCTATGGCAGCTGCAGCAATGGCATGGCCCTGCTTGCCTGCTCGATGCGGTTGGTGATGTCGCCGGCCTCGGGCTGCCCCTCAAAGTTCATGAAGCGAACCGCCGGCACGTGCGGCGGCTGCCGCGCCAGCGTCGCCGTCAGGCTGAAGGCCGGACCGCCTGCGGCGGCGGGGCAGCAGCCAGCGATGAGCTTGGGGGGGGAAGCATGCCACAGGCTTTGCCTGGCTTGCTCAGCATGTGATGCATGGCCAGCGATGCCGCGGCTGCTGCCAGCACTCCCGCACCCACCCGGGTGCAGGAGCTCATCGGGGTCAAGGTGCAGCAGCCAGTGCTGGCCGTCCTGGGAGGCCAGGCGCAGCGCCTCGCTCAGGCCGTACCTGGGGCAGTGAGCAGGGCAGATGCGTGGGCGATGCCAGGTGGCAGGGATTGCATGGGGGACCCAACCCAGCGCTGCCTGCTGGCCCGGGTTGCGATCCCTGCTACCGCCCTCGCCCACGCATCTGCCCTGCTCACTGCCCCAGGTA